CAGTCCATGAAAGGATCAATAGGCTAATCATATGATTGCATGGCTGTAGCACAAGTGTTCCTCCTGTTTGCCCATCTTGTGCTCCTGATCTTGTCAATCCAAGCCCAGTCTCTTTCCGATACTCCTTCCTTTCAGCCCCGAGATATTCCTTTTGAATGTTACAATCCGACATATGGGAGTTGCACCTTCTATGCCGATTGTCTCGAGAGTCGCTACCATTGTGGTCAATCGGGCTACCCGATTGGATATGGCCAACACTACTGTGACTCAGTGAGGCCTTCACGGCGGCAGGGTCAAAGTTTGGCTTGCAGGGACAGGAGTGGTTGGCACACACCATGCATTGCCTACAGGCCGCACTGGTGCCTGAAGCGACAGGCGAAGGTGAGACAACATGCAACGCGCTAGCCGACAAGGCTTTCGCGACCCATGCAACTTGCTATGTCAACAATGGTTTGTGTGAACTGTTCCCAACGGATTGGGTAGAGATCGTGACCATTGTAGGGTGGACACTCTTCGAGAGCTGGGATGCGACTAGTAAGAGCAGTTTCCAGGCGGCGGGAGATTGTCCAGCCCTTACGGCGTGGATCCTACTCTGCACCACGCTAAATAACCGGAATTTATGCCCCAGTGTGGCTGGGCTGTAGCATTGCATGATTTGCCAAATTGCTTGGAGGCTTGAAACCAGGCTAATTGCAATATGAACTTATTGCTCTCGGAATTGGAAAGCACGTCGATGGACGTCAAATTTTGGTCGAGCTACTTAGTCGTTGAAGATGAACACGCCAAGAGTACCCCGTATTAGCTAAATTTGATTCTTTACGCACTTTTGTATCGATTGCCTTGCTCTGTGTTCCAACTGCATCACATGTACTTGAACTTCCCAGACTACCATGCAATCATCGTCACTCCGACGTTATTTTACTCTACACTCAGTTCAGGCAAATTTTCGTTAGAACTTGGTCTTCTGCTCGCCGAAAGTTAATGTTGACCACCAACTATTCTTAATCCGGCTCTCCACAAACGACTACGGATCGTCAAATTTGGCCCAGAGAAACGCAGCCCAGCCAAAGCCCAGCCGCGCTACTGAAATGTTAAGCGGTTACTTGCCCAGGGACCAACGGTGCGTTTTCTAACTTGTCTGCAATCATGTACTTCT